TCCCTCTTCCTTCCTCTCTGAAACCAATAAAAATATATTTTAAAAGTATTAATTAATTAAAGTTCAGACAATACATTAATAATGAAGAAAACAAAATCATTTATAATTCAATAGGTTTATATACTTTTAGACTTTTGTATATGTACAGTGTTTTTTTAAATGGAATCATGAAATCATTATTAACAACATACACACACACACACACACACACACACACACACTAGTAGGTAGGTAGGTAGATAGATAAAAGCCTAAGAGACCGAATGACCAGTCGACCGGTCTCTATGATGCACACTGACCACCCGGGGGGGCAGATGCTCAACGCAGGAGCTGACCCCTGGTGGTCAGTGCGCTCCCACAGCCAACCTCCCGCGGTATCCCCACCTCCAGCCGGCCCCGATCACTGGCCAGGTCGAGTGACCCCACCCATGCACGAATTCATGCACCGGGCCTCTAGTTTTAATATATTTTAGCAATTCTTACATACATACACACACATCTTATTTATTTATTTATTTTCAATCCTCACTTGAGGATATTTTTTCCATTGATCTTTAGGGAGAAAGTGAAAGGGAGGGAGGAGGGAGGGAGGAGAGGAAGCAGAGAGGGGAGGAGAGAGAAAGAGAGAGAGAAACATCAACATGAGAAACATAATGATTAGTTGCCTCCTACACGCACCCGGACTGGGGCCAGGAATCAAACCCACTACCCTTTGGTGCCCAGGACGACACTCTAACCACTGAGCAACACAGGCCAGGGTTATTACTTTACTAACAGCACATAGAGAGAATGCAGGCAGATTTGTCAGTTCTTGAGAAATGGCTGATAAACAGGTTAAATCCAAGTATCATAGCCTAGTTGGATCCTTCCTTTCACTTCCTAGCTATGTAGTCTCAACTCTAGTCCTTCCCTTCCCTCTGCCCAGTATCCCTCACATCACATCCTAGAACAGAAATTAACCTGAGGTCAATGGCTCTATCAAAAAACCTTAATTACCCCTCCAACTCCTATAGCATTAGTGAGGTAAAGAATCCATAGAGGCATCAGCAGGTAGGACATCTAAATTAAGCTCAAATATCTTAGTCTCACCTGTTCCTCCCTACAGAAAGGTTGTGGAAAGAGCAATAGAAGTAAGTGGAAACAATCTGAAGTTGTTTCTTGCTGATTTCTGCTGTGACAACAATATGAACAGCCAAGTTTAAAGCTCTCCAGTTTGCTCCTTCTGTAGAACAATAGCCTGAGAAATCCTATGCAATTCTTTTAGAAAAATAGCAGCATTTTTGAGGGAAAGTCTGAAATGTAAAAATATAAGTTTACAATTCAGGAGAGTAGAAGGTTGCTATTTTTTAAAATGGTATTTAAAAATTTTTTCATATTATGTTCTGTAGAGATGTAGGGTTCTATGATGGTTTATTCAGAAGCTCCTTAGGTATTTCAAGTTTATTTTAGAGAGGAAGGGAGAAGGATAGAGAGATAGGAACATCATTGGTTGGCTATCTCCTGCATGCCCCCTACTAGGGATCGAGCCTGCAACCTGGACATGTGCCCTGACTGGGAATCGAATTAGCGACCTCTTGGTTCATGGGTCGATGCTCAACCACTGAGCAATACCAGCTGGGTCAAGTTTATTTTTTAAAAGTCAATTCTGAAATATCTAGGGACCATAGGTGTCAAGAAAGCCAAAGAAGTAGGACTCTAGGCCAACCAACTGGAAGATAGCCTCTATATCAAAGATGTACGGAGCAGAACCCCAAAGAAACCAGAATTGAGGGAAGTCCCACTCAGAGCATTTGGAAAGCTAGGAGCCCCTCCTCAAAAATTACTGCTGATTCCCACTTGCACTCCCAGCCTTAGGTGGGTCATGGTAGCAAGGAGAAGTGGAAGTTACAGGAGGAGGAACTATTCTTTTTAAATATATTTTTATCGATTTTAGAGAGGAAGGGAGAGGGAGAGATAGAAACATCAATGATGAGAATCATTGATGGGCTGCCTCCTGCACACCCCCCACTGGGGATCAAGCCCACAACCCAGGCATGTACCCTTGGCTGGAATCAAACCTGGGACCCTTCAGTCTGCAGGCTGATGCTCTATCCACCGAACAAAACTGGCTAGGGCAGGAGGAACTATTTTAGCAGTGTATTTTGCTTTGATCCAGCTTATCTATTAAGCTTCTATGTAAGATTTCAATTTTTTTTGGGGGGGGGGGAGTTCTGCTTTAAAAAAAAAAGAGCAAGTAAATTGACAAGGATTGAGATACACCATTTGGAGTTACTTTGCAATAGTTGGGGAAACAGAAAATCTTCCTTAGGTACATTTTACTTGAATATTTTAAACAACAATAGTATGTAGGGAAGCAATAGGGAGCCGATTACTGGGCACTCCCTTCCGAAAGCAAAGGAAGAATAATGTGTGAGTAGGTGGTATAGCAGGGGAATGGTGGTCCAGAGTGAGGTCAAGCCTATGTTAGGTGAAGAAGAAATCTGCAAAGAAGAATGACTCATCTTTAACCTATGTTTACGAAGTTAAGTAAAAATACTGAGCTATGAGCAGAGGCAGAATGACTACAGAGCCTGCATTCTCAACCACTATTCTACGCTGCCTCAAAAGGAATTCACAGCCCTGGCCCGTGTGGCTCAATTGGTTGGGCGCCATCCCATGCACAGAAAGGTTGCCTATCTCCTAGGGTGGTCAAAAAGGGAATTAAATTGGTTTAGACAAGTAAAGCTTTTGGGTTAACACATGGCAAATAGGAAGTTCTCAAATATTAGCAATTATTATTAGAGGAGTTGGAAGGGACCTTCCGGATTACTGACTGAAAGAACAGTGTAGGGCCTGTAGGCAGTAAAGTACTGGCCTTGAGTACCCCCATGGCTAACTGACCAGCCTGTATCAAGTCACTTAATCTCTGTTGGTTTGTTTCCAGTTAAATAGGAGTAATGGGCTAAATGCTCTCCATAATTTCTTTCAGCTTTCATATTTTGAGTTCACTTTTTGTGTTTTACTTTGCTTTTTACTATTTTTTCTCTTTCCTGCGTTTGACCTGTTTTCTCAAGAGATTCATAACTAGAACTCAAAAAAGAAGTAGCGTCCTTCTAAGACAGTTATTCTAGAAATTGGATGTGAAGGAGGGAGATTGGACCACTAGTTGGCATTTGAAAGTCTCCCATCTTCTGATCTGCCCAGCACATAGTAAGGCTCTGCTCACACATTCAAGAAGATGAAGAAACTAAGACACAGAGAGGCTAAGTAACTTGCTCAAAATCACAGCCCTATGAATGATGCTGATGAGATTCAAACCGTTTACAAACCTTTTTTCTTCCCTTTTTAAATTATGAAATTCTTCTGAGTATTCTTGCACGTTCGCATACCCTTCGAATTTCTAGTGCCTGGCAGTGTGAACGCGACGACTAAAGGTTCCGACTTAGGTGATCTTACCCACATCAATGGCTCAATCACCGCCAAATACCAATTACTCTCAGATTTATATTTCCAACAAAAATCTCTTTTCTGCGTTCCAAACCCGTATTTCAAACTGCCTCCTGGATGTCAGGGATGATTTCTCCCTTCCCCTCGCCAAAAAAAACACACACAAACCTACCCAGTTGCCATAAGCCAGAAAACTCGGAGTTACACTGAAGTCCTCTTTTTTCCCTCCCTGAATCCAGTCCATCATCGAGTCCTGCTGATTTCACCTCCTCTATACGCCTTTCGGATCCGTCCAACACCTCAGTCCTCATTCCCAACAGTGTGTCCATCCGTCCTCCATCTGTTCCCACTATGGAGCCTCTCCCCCACCGCACATCCCGCTCCCCATCAAAAATAAACCACCACCACCAAAAACCTCATCGGTCTTCCAGCAAAAGCTACCAAGTCCTGCCAGGCCTGCCCTCGACCCGCCTCCAGCTTCGTCCCGAACCACGCTCCCCTGCACCCGCCCTGCATCCCCTCCCTCCTGGCCACGCTGGCCTCTCCGCTTTTTATTCATTCTCCTCCCCTGGTCACCAGGCCCTGGACACGCTGTTCTCTCCGGGGAAGAGTCTGCCCTCCTCTCTTCACCCGCCTCAGGAGAACCCTCCCTTCAGGCACCTCTTCCTCGGAGAAGCTCCCCGGCTTCTTTCAGGCACTCGGAACATCGGTGCCTCTCTCCTAGGTCGCACTATTTCACATTTCTCAGAGAGACACTTTAGCATCAGTTTTCCCCACCAGCCTCAAGCCCCTGAGAGGTCAGGGGCCATGTTCGGTTCACAAGGTACCCTCCATGCTTTGCACAAAAAATCCCAGTTGGACCGGCAGGAGTCGGGCATTGCCTTCACCGCCGGCCCTCACAGGAGCACAGAGCAGGCCCTAGCAAAAGGCCGGCAGACACAAGCCGGCCTCCTCGGTCAGGACCCGAGTGGAGGCTGGGAGACCGGCCTTTCCTCCCTGGGGGCGCCTGGCACGGGGACGGACACAGCAGGCGCTCGCTGAAGGCGGCCGTCGAGGGCCTCGGGCAGCCGCACAGACCCCAAAGCGCCGCTCCAGCCGAGAGGGAACCCAGGCTACCGCTGCCCGAGCTGGGCCCGCCCCTGCACCTCGCACTCAAAACTTCGGAAGAGAAAGGCCAGGCTCACACAGCACACCCGAGGCACCGCCTCCAGATTCCGCAGCCGCCGCCCCCGACCTCCCTCACACTTACTCGGCGTCCGCTCCGGCCTCCGCGCCGCTGCATTGCGCGAAACGCCAAAACCCAGCCCGCGCGCTCCCACCCACAAGACACAGCGTGCCGAGGCGGGGCGCCAGCTCCACCCGCCAATCCTGGAATCGGACTCTCGTGACGTCAGAAGGACCTGACCAATAAGAGGAGCTCATCTTCGGGCGCTGGGGAGAGTATTGGAAGCCGATTGGCCTCTCCAAGCCGGATGTGCTAGGGAAGGACTAAGTCGGAACCAGTCGCGCGGAGGCTGAGGGTGTCGGCGCGGTCGGTCCGTGGCGGTGCAGAGGAGAGCGGCTACCGCCATGATTGAACAACAGAAGCGCAAGGGTCCGGAGTTGCCGCTGGTTCCCGTCAAGAGGCAGCGGCATGAGCTCATGTTGGGAGCGGCGGGGTCGGGCCCTGGAGCGGGACAGCAGCCCCCGGCGCCGGGAGCTCTGCTGCAAGCGGTGAGTGAAGGAGCAGGCGGCCTTCGGCCCGCAGCTCATCTGCCTCCTCTGAGAGCTACACCGGGTGGTCCCGCATCGGCCCTTCCCGCCTACTGCGGGGCGGCACGAGAATCTCTATCTGGAGTTAAGGCAGGAAAACACTGTAAAAGCGGTCGACGTCCTGCGGATACTCCATACGTTTCCCTGTTTGACAGCCGTTTTCAGCGTCTCGATCTCCCTGTGAGATGGCGTTAGAATTAAAGTTCAGGATCCTTATTTTGACCTCAAAATCAAGACCGAGGTTTTCGTATCCTAAATCTTACAGGGATTCAGCATAGAGTAAACATTCAGAAAAGTTGCACGAGTGCGAGGATGGAGAATGAATGAATGAATGAATGAATGAGGGAAGAAATGAAATTAATGATCTGGCTCACTTTGGCCAAGTTGTTTTTCTCTTTATTTCTCTACACTATTAACAACTCAAGAATAGTTAACATTCATTGAGCCCTTGTACTGAGTTATTTTATTTTAAATGAAAACTCCATTAATCTTGGTAACAGCCTAAGAGTTAGGGACTGTTATTCCATTTTGTAGATGGGAAGACAAACTCTTACCTGATAGTGATAGAAACATCTTAAATCCAGACCCTATGTTTTGGTTTTTTTTACATTTCTTGTAAGATAGAGGTAGTGATCATACCTCTCCTTCTATTAGCCTCAGATGAAGAAGCACGAGTCCTCTCAACTCCTCAAGCAGCGGGTTAGCCAATCCGGCTGGCACCGTTTCAAAATAGACCTACACACTGCTACCACTTGTGCCACCTCCATCCCTAGCTCCTGATCTGAGCTATTATCTCACCTGGCATTGCAGTAGGGTCCTAACTGGTATTCCTGTTTCTGCTCCTGGGCCGTCAGTCTGTTCTCAAACCAGCAGCCAGAGGACTCCTAAAGGTCAGATTCTGTTACGCTTTGCTGAAAACTTTCGGTGGCTTTCCACTTCACTCACTGTAAAACCAAAATCCTTACAACCTTTTGCCCTTTTTGCCTCTATCTCTCTGATCTACCAATTGTCCATGGCTCACACTTGCTCCAGTCACACTGGTTTCCATGCTCCTGCCTGAAAGTGTTTGCATTTGCTGCTTCCTCTACCGGAGTCCTCTTCCAAATGTTCATCTGGCTTATAGACGCAGCTCTTCCAGATCTTTCCTCAAATATCACTTTTTTAGTGCAGGCTTTCCTGGTCCCCTTTAAATTGCAATGCCCAGTACTTATTAACCCACATTGCTGTGTTTTTCTTCAAAGCACCTACAACCATCTGTATATTTTACTTGTTTTCTCTCTATTGTGATTGACCCACGTCCTGCGTGGTTCAGGGTTTGGGCTCTGGAGAAGGGGCCGCACGCAAATGACAGAGGAGACAAGAAATAATAATTTGGAAATTGGGCGGGTGCACGGTGCATAGCTCTGACCTTTGCCAGGGCTCAGGGGTCACCAGCATTCCGGGCTCCTTGTCCACACCTCTCTGCTAGTGAAGACAATGGGCGGCTTCCCACACTCTATCCCTCCTCTTTCTGCTTCTCACTCAAAAGCAAACTCCGTTTATTTTCCTAATGCCTACAACAGTGCCTGGCACATAGTATTTTTTTTTTTTTTTAATAAATGAGTAAGCTGGAAACTACTGAAGAGATTTGGGGATTATTAATAATGTACTTGTTCATCTACCTAACAAATATGAATATCAGCCCAGGTTCCAGCATATTACCCAAGCCTAGACTTAATGTCAAGATCATAATCAAAAGTCCTTTCCCGATGTGGAGAGAGCAGAGTGCCTGAAGAGTGACTCCTCTGTGATTAACACATCCAACAGCAACTTGGGCTTACTCCTCACAGGTGGCAGGATACTATGACCTTCCTGTGACATTATGCCCTCTACATGGAAAAAAAAAAAAGGCCTTTCCCCAATAATCTGTACCCTGAACTGTTGCTCAGTTCCATCATTCACTCATTCATTAAATGAGCTAGAGATTGGGAAAAGAATGTTGAATGACACAGGCAGGATCCCTGCATTCACAAAGCTTCTTGTCTAGTGAGGAAAAAGGCAACATAAGTAAACCAATACACCAGGAGGGAATTTCAGGTGATGATCAGTGCAGTGAGGGGATACAGTAGGGTTAGTGGAATACAGAGGGGAGATCGGGCGCTGCTTGAGTTCGAATGATCAAGGAAAGACTTTCTAAACGGAAAACGTTTGAAAAGAGCCAAACAGGAAAATCTAGGGCAAGGGGATTCCTGTCAGGGGCAACACGGGTAAAGATCCCGAGGTAGAAATGAGTTTAACATGTTTGAGCAATTAGAAGTTGGCTATGAGACAGGAGCAGGATGAGGGGTAGGAAAGTTGGTAAAGCAGGCAGACACTGGTAATTTCAGCAGGAAAGTATCAAATTGGAGGCATAAGTTGTGAGAAGAGTTGCAATTCTCTAGATCAGGAGAAATCCACTCATTGTTTCCCTTGCCTTTTCCCTACATCCACTCCCGTAATTTTCAGCTTCCTTTGCCAATATGCAATGACTATCTTGTATTTCTCTTTTTTGTTTAGGGGCCTCCAAGATGTTCCTCCCTTCAAGCCCCAATCATGCTTCTCTCAGGACATGAAGGGGAAGTGTACTGCTGCAAGTTTCACCCCAATGGATCCACCTTAGCATCTGCAGGATTCGACCGACTGATATGTAAGGCATAGTGTTCATAGTGTTTGAATCTGGAATAATCGCTATCTGCCAAGTAGTGATTTTTATTTTAATATATTTTATTGATTTTTTACAGAGAGGAAGGGAGAGAGATAGAGAGTTAGAAACATTGATCAGCTGCCTCCTTCACATCTCCCACTGGGGATGTGCCCGCAACCCAGGTACATGCCCTTGTCCGGAATCGAACCCGGGACCTTTCAGTCCACAGGCCGACGCTCTATCCACTGAGCCAAACCGGTTTCAGCAGTGATTATTTTTTTAAAACCTTTGGTGCCACAGAAGGTATCAGTCTGATTTGGTCACATAACAAACTACATGGTCGTGAAAATGCTGAATGATCTTGATTGGAGAACTCAGAGTCCATGTGGTAAATACGGAAGGAATTATGTTACTGGTTGGAAAGTGAGTTGCTCTAGTTTGAGAATATCTTCCTCATGGAGGTGAATCTTGAGCTGATTTAGCCAGATAAGAATTCTAGGCTTAAAGATGAATGGGCGTAATAAAGAAAAAGAGACCATTTCTTTTCTCCAAAGGCAAGAGGCCCTCCTCTTGGTTCACTCTCAGAATCTTAGCATATGGGAAGGAAGGGGGACTCTTAAAGTGGCAACTCACTTAGATTATCTATACAACATTAGGATCTGCTACCAGATTCTCAACTCCTAGTCAGGAAAACCCATTTTTTAAGAAATAGGTAGAGAAAATCACTTTGGGGAAGTCATGAGAAAAAGTGAAAAAGAAGGTAACAGAAGCCTCTGACTTTATTTCTCCTGCCATCATTTGCTGCACTGTGAGATGAAATTAACTCTTTGCTTATAACTCTGTACCTCAGGGTGGATGATAATTGTCTGTTTTGATGTAGGTGTTCTAGTTCTATGATCCTTAAACTTTCTGGTGGCCAAGCATCTGGAAGGCTTAGGCATCTTTGTAGAACATCCATAACTACCTATATGTACCTTATAATGTATAGAGGTGTTCCTTAATAATTCTCATTAATTTTACTCCTCGCTAGAACAAGCTCACTGTGGATAGCAACTGTGTCTATTCATTTACCTCGTTTTATCCCAGGACCTGGCATGTTATAGGTACTTACTACATGTGGATTAAGTAAATGTCGGGTAAAATCATTGCATGTGACCTTCAAGTCATTTGCGGCTTCCTCGGTTTTCCATAAGTGTTGCCATTTTGCAGTCTATTTATATTCATAGGAGATGAGCAATAGTGAATGTCAGCTTTTTTAATATAGGAAATTAAGGCTTAAAAAATTGTATCCATTACCTTATAAAATGTGAAAATATTGCATTATTTTTGTTACAGTGTTGGGAAAATTGGCACAGCTGGTAGAACCAATAGTGTTCTAAGCACTATTGTTCTGGTAAATTCATAGGTACCCTTTCCATGCCCAGTAATACATTTCCTTTTGCCTAGCAGTGCTCATAGAATTCCTGTCTTCCTAACAGTGTTGTGGAATGTCTATGGTGACTGTGATAACTATGCAACATTGAAGGGGCACAGTGGAGCAGTGATGGAACTGCATTATAACACGGATGGCAGGTGAGTGTTCTGCATAGTAGAATGACGGCTGCTACTTACACTAATTCTTCTTGGCATCCTTTCACATTTTATCCTTGAGTTTTCTCTCTCAGGAGACCATGCTATCAAAAACTGCTGCGTTTGGGCAATTGCTTTATTCTATCACTGTCACGCCAAGTAAGGTGTTATTGCTCCTTGTAGGCATTTAAAAATACATCATCTCTGTCATCTAATATGTCAACATCTCAGACAAATTTATTCTTTCTTAAGACATAAAACAAAGTAATTTTTATATGTATAAATTAGCTATTTTTATTATGAAAGTAATAAAATATTATTTTGAGAAACTAAGACAAAAAAACAGAACAAGGAAAAAATAGCCCATATTCCTGCCAGTCCAAAGAGAATAACTTAATATTATGATACATTTTTTATCAAGCCTTTTTCCTACTCTAAACTGTTTGGTTTTTACTTATATGTTAGAGCTACGTTTACGATCTTGTCTGCTGCTTTTTCCCTTAACATTATTCACCTAACATGCTATTTATCATAAACATTTTAATGATTGCATAATTTTAGAATAATTACAAATAATATAGAAATGTGTTTATAAAAGGCATTAATCCCATTGGGTATTTCAGTAAATAGTCATTGTTTTAAACTTCTGATCTGAAAAAACTTGGGTTCCCTGAATCAACTGGTACATAGCCTTGTATAAACTTATGAATTGTCCTCAGAGACAAAATAAAAACTTTGATTTTTAGGGGAAAGGTTGGAGTTGCTGAGCCATTGGGTTAAGAATTGCTAGTCTCTCTTACTTCTGCAGCAAGGAGTGATTAAATATTTCCAAGTGGGAGAATGTCTTCTGTATAAAGTCTTATCTATCACAAAGAAGGAAAAGATTAAGAAAACTGCTGTATTAAATGTTTACTCTATCATGGGTACTGATACAAGGAAATCCTTTTTACTAGGGTAGACCTTATAACGGATCTAAAGCACCAATAGGATTTTGGTAGATAGGGCGAGACAGGCATTCCAGCATCATGTGCCAGACTGTCAGAGGACATGTCAATGATCTTAAAGGGTTGGGCACATTTTGGTAAGTGGGGAAGATAGATTGCTGGGGTTCGTATTCACTTACTTCTTTTTTGTTCTTCCTCTTACCTTCTAGTATGCTCTTCTCAGCATCCACAGATAAAACTGTGGCAGTGTGGGATAGTGAAACAGGTGAGAGGGTTAAAAGGCTGAAAGGACATACTTCCTTTGTGAATTCCTGTTATCCGGCCAGGAGGGGCCCCCAGCTTGTCTGCACTGGCAGTGATGATGGTACAGTTAAGGTGGGTGATGTTGTCTCTCTGAGTGTTGCAATTTCTGAGGTGACATAATGTGTACTTTATCTTGCCTTACCCTCTGTGTTGTACCCTCCTCGCTACAACTTTGTTTTAGCAGTCATTTCCCAAAACAGATGCTTTAAGTATCTAACAGAATAATATTAGAACCAAATCAAACCATTGTGACTTGGATTAAAATGGACCACCTGAATTGGATTCTTGGCTCAGCTGTTTACTTAGTTGTGTGGTCTTAGGCAGTTTTTCTTATCCTCAGTTTCTCGATCTTTACGATGGTGATAGTAGTATCATGTCTTACAAGGCTATTGTGAAAGTAGTCAGCATAAAGAAAGGTCAGTACATGGCTTAGTAACACAGGATGGGATCCTAAAGGTCATTTGGTCCAATGATTTCCAACCTGTGTGCATATCAGAATCACTCAAAGAATCTGTTAAAAACAAAAAACAACCAGATTCTGATTCGGTAGGTCTGAAGTGAGGCTTTTTTTTTTTTTTTAATTAAGACTATTTTTAAAGCAGTTGTAGGTTCACAGCAAAATCGAGGGAAAGATATAGAGATTTCCCATATGTCCACTCTCCCACATATGCACAGCCTCCCCCAGAGTGGCACATTTGTTACGATTGATGAACCTACATTGACACATCATAATTACCCAAAGTCCATAGTTTACATTAGGGTTCACTTTTAGTGTTGTACATTCAATGGGTATGGACAAATGTATAATGACATGTATTCATCACTATGGTATTATACAGAGTATTTTCACTGCCCTAAAAATCCTCTTTGCTCTGCCTATTCATCCCTTCCAAGCCCTGGCAACCATTGATCATTTTACTATTTCCATAATTTTGCCTTTCCCAGAATGTCATATAGTTAGAATTATACAATATATAGCTTTTTCAGATTAGCTTCTTTCTCTTAGTAATATGCATTTAAGATTCCTCTATGTCTTTTCATGGCTTGATAGCTCATTTCTTTTTAGTGCTGAATAATATTCCATTATTTATGTATTTACCTACTGAAGGACATCTTGGTTGCTTCCAAGAGTTGGCAATTATGAATAAAGCTGCTGTAAACATTCATGTGCAGGTTGTGTGAACCTACATTTTCAGCTCCTGTGGGTAACTGTCAAGGAGTGCAATTGCTGGAACGTATCATAAGAGTATGTTTAGCCCTGACTGGGGTGGCTTGGTTGGAGCAACATCCCATACACCCAAAGGTCGCAGGTTCAATTCCTAGTCAGGGCACATACCCAGGTTGTGGGTTCAATCCCCAGTGTGGGAGGCAACTGATGAATGTTCTCTCATATTGATGTCTCTCTCCCTTCCTCTCTCTCTAAAATCAATAAAAGTGTGTCCTCGGGTGAGGGCTTTAAAAAAAACAGTATGTTTTAGTGGGCCAGAGTAGCATATCAGAGCCCAAGTGAGGTGAGGAGGGCATCCACACAGGACAGGGTAGGCAGCCTGGGGAACTGGAGGATGAGGAAGGAGGCGCTGCCCAGAATGGAGAGTCAATGCCCTAGTGGGGTAAAAGGATCATCTACACGTTGGTGAAGGAGATAATATAGTGTCAGAACCTGAGCCGAGGGTGCCCAAACGGGGCAGGTGTCTGAGGCTGAGCAGGATGAAGATGGCATCCCTAGGGAAGGGCAGCCTAGAGAGGGGCATTAAAGCCCAAGCAGAGTGAAGAGGGTGTTTGTTCACACAGAGGGATGACCCAAATGGGATGAGAAAGGGGTGCACATACAGTTAGCTGAGAATGGGAATCACGGTTCAGGAAAAAGGGTATCTATTCAGGGGAAGGGTGGAAGAGGATATGGGAGGTTGGTTATACAGGAAGCTTGATCAAATAAGTATAATGGGAAATAGACTACTCACCATCAGAGAGAGGAGTTACCAATACTGAAGTAGAGAAAACAAAAATGCATCGTGTGTTGTTGGTATCAAATTGGAATTATCAGTGTGAATTTAAGACATTCAATATACAAACAAATAGATATAGAAAAAAAATGAATGTAGATGTGTGTGTATACCTATGTATACATATACTTTCTAACTAACCACTGAGAGGGTTTAGGAATAACACCCCAACAGCAATGAGCACATCTGCTCAGGTCGTGGCCTTTAAAGTACCATTTTCCACTAAAAAGAACCAGCGCGCCTTTTAGGACTGGGCAGGGAAAGTACTAGGTGAGCCTTGAACATCTTATGCAAGAAAGCTTGTCAAAGAACATCTTAATCAAATTATCAAATTGGACTTTATTAGTAACTAGAGGCCTGGTGCACAAAATTATCCATCTTTTTTAAAAATTTTTATGATTAATGCTGCTATAAACATTCATGGTCAAGTGTTTGAACACCTATTTTCATTTCCCTTGGAATATATCTAGGAGTCTGGTTGCTGGGACATATGGTAATTCTATGTTTAACTTTTTGAGGGACATCCAAAGTTTTCTGTAGCAGCCTCATCATTTTACATTCTCATCAGCAATGTATGAGATTTTTTCAATGTAAGAATCCCCGATTTTTTTACATCCTCGCCAACACTTGTTATTTTCTGTGTGGGTTTGTTACTGTTATTGATATTGTTACATCTTAATGAGTGTGAACTGGTACCCAATTATTGTTTTGATTTTTATTTATGATGTTGAGATCTTTTCATGTGCTTATTGGCCCTTGTTATATTTTCTGAAGAGAAATTTTTTTTAATGTTTTTATATATTTTAGAGAGAAAGGTAGAGGGAGAGTTAGGAACATCACTGATGAGAGAATCATTGATTGGCTACCTACTGCACTCCCTCTGAGGATCAAGCCCACAATCCAGGCATGTGCCCTGACTGGGAGTTGAATTGTGACCTCCTGGTTCATAGGTTGATGTTCAGCCACTGAGCCACACCAGCTGCACCTGAAGAGAAATAGTTATTCAAGTCCTTGCCTATTTATTAATTGGGCTTGTTGTATTTTTGTCATTGAGGTATAATAGTTCTTTGTCTGGATACTAGACCTTTCTCAGATATGTGATTTGCAAATATTTTCTCCCATTGGCAGTTATTTCATTTTCATGATACTCTCCTTTGATGTACCACAGTTTTCTGTTTTTATTAAGTCTAATTTATCTATTTCTTCTTTTGTCACTTGTACTTTTGTTGTCATCCTATCTAATAATAGACAAACATGGTAATTGACCGTACCTTCGCTATGCCTCCCATCGGCTAATCAGCACGATATGCAAATTAACCACCAACAAAGATGGCTGCTAATTTGCATACTGCAGGCAGGGTGGGACAGCGCCATCCTGCCTGCCCCGCCACCATCTGGGCCTGCTATTTGAGACCCGGGGCGGTGAGGCGGGACAGTGCCATCCTGCCTACCCTGCCACCATCCGGGCCTGCTATCTGCGACCCAAGGCGGCGGGCATCCATGTGCGACCCGACCCGGGGCAGCCGGGCGGTGTAGCAGTGATCGGCCAGCTCGCCCTGCCTCCATCCAGGCATCCTGTGTACGCCCCAACCCGGGGCGGCCGGGCGGGGCAGCAGCGATTGGCCGGCCCGCCCAGGGCATCCCGTATGCGACCCAACCCCCAGATCGGCCCTGCCGTGTGTGCGACCCGGGGAGGCGGGGCAGGCACCAAGGGATCGGGCCTGCCATCTTCCACCCGGGGAGCGAGCCTAAGCCAGCAGGTGGTTATCTCCCGAGAGGTCCCAGACTGTGAGAGGGCACAAGTGGGGCTGAGGGACACTCCCCCCTTTCCTCCTCCCCCGCCAGTACACAAATTTTTGTGCACCAGGCCTCTAGTATCTAATAATTCATTGCCATATCCATGGTCATGAAGATTTATCCTTTTGTTCTCTTCTAAGAATTTTATAGTTTTAGCTTCTTTTTTAAAAAAATATATTTCTTTATTGATTTCAGAGAGGAAGGGAGGAGAGAGAGATAGAAACATCAATGATGAGAGAGAATCATTGATCGGCTGCCTCCTGTACACCCCCTACTGGGGATCAAACCCGCAACCCAGGCATGTGCCCTTGGCCGAAATCAAACGTGGGACCCTTCAGTCCGCAGGCTGATGCTTTATCCACTGAGCCAAGCCGGCTAGGGCTATAGTTTTTTTTTTGTTGTTTTGTTTTTTAATATATTTTATTGATTTTTTACAGAGAGGAAGGAGAGGGATAGAGAGTTAGAAACATCGATGAGAGAGAAACATCGATCAGCTGCCTCCTGCACGCCCCCCACTGGGGATGTGCCCGCAACCAAGGTACATGCCCTTGACCGGAATTGAACCCAGGACCCTTGAGTCCGCAGGCCGACGCTCTATCCACTGAGCCAAACCGGTTCTGGCTAGGGCTATAGTTTTAGCTTTTACATTTAAGTCTTTGATTCATGTCAAGTTAAATTTGACATGTGTGAGGTAAGGGTCTAGCTCAGGGGTGGGCAAACTTTTTGACTCGAGGGCCACAATGGGTTCTTAAACTGGACCGGAGGGCCGGAACAAAAGCATGGATGGAGTGTTTGTGTGAACTAATATAAATTCAAAGTAAACATCATTACATAAAAGGGTACGGTCTTTTTTTTTTTTTTTTTAGTTTTATTCATTTCAAACGGGCCGGATCCGGCCTGTGGGCCGTAGTTTGCCCACGGCTGGTCTAGCTTCAACTGATTATCCAGTTGTCCCAGGGCCACTTGTGAAAAAACTATTAATTTCTTTCATCTGTATGGGCTATACTTTTTGCTGCTTCTTTGCCTCATAATTTTTTTGTTGAAAACTAGACATTTGAATATTATAATACTAGAGGCCCACCGCGCAAAATCACGGGGGACCCAGTGTCAAGTCCCCACCCACCCGCGCATGCAGCCCCGACCACCTTGAAGACAGTTGTGGACGGAGATAAGAATAGTTTCCTGCCCTAACCTTTCCTTCTCAGGAGCACTTAAATTGACCTTCGTTAGAAGATAAGAATTGAACAGAGCAACACTTACTTGTTCCCATGAAGAAATCATATGACATTCAGCAGGTGCCTTTTGGCGTTTGGTTGTGATGGCTGATGGCATCACGACCATGGGGTTTTTATAATAGAGACTAGAGGCCCGGTGCACAAAAATTTGTGCACTTGGGCCCTCTCACAGTCTGGGACCCCTCAGGAGATAACCACCTGCTTCTGGCTTAGGCCCGCTCCCCGGGTGGCAGATGGCAGGCCCGATCCCTTGGTGCCTGTCCCACCTCCCCAGGTTGCGCACACAGCAGGGCCCATCCGGGGGTTGGGGCACCGCCCCGGGTAGGGTCGCACACGGGATGCCTGGATGGAGGCCCAGCGGGCTGGCCGATCACTGCTGCACCACCCGCCGCCCCGGGGCGCAGATAACAGGCCCGGATGGCGGCAGGGTAGGCAGGATGGCGCTGTCCCGCCCCACCGCCCCAGGTCGCAAATAGCAGGCCCAGATGGCGGCGGGGCAGTTGGGATGGCGCTGTCCCACCCTGCCTGCGGTATGCAAATTAGCCGCCATCTTTGTTGGCAGTTAATTTGCATATCATGCTGATTGGCCCATGGGAGGCGTAGCAAAGGTACGGTCAATTACCATGTTTGTCTATTAGATAGGATGGCAATTTGGGAAATTAGATTCTCCTCAGGGTTTGTTGTTGCTGCTTGTTGTAGCTATTATTTATTTAGTGAATTTTCTGGTGTAATTTTATAAATTTGCTTATAGCCACTGAAGTCTCTTATTTCATTAGTTTAGTGGTTTGCCAGTGGTTGGGCAAAGATTTCCTTAATGGGGCTCGGGGGGAGAAAGGCAGAGAGGGGAGACTCTCCTAGTCTTTGCAGATTGGCTGTGTATATTTGAAGGGGCCTGCCTTCACCTCTCAGCCAGGCAGTTCCAACTCTGCATTAGCCTTCATTTCCTGCTTTTACAGAGCCTACAGGTGAGAGTGTGGGGCCTTCTCAGTTATTTTCTGAGCATGTTCGCAGCCATGGGCATGCACATGACCTTTAGAGTCCCAGGAATGTGTTACAGCTTTTCAAAGCCTCTCCTGTGTTCCAAGTTGTCTCATTCTCCCACTTTCAGTCTCCAGCTGTTTGGCTGTCTTTTGTTTGCCCAAACTGTTAGTCCTTGCTTCAGCAAGCAGAGGCTAGTGCATTATTTGCCTGTAAATGTTTTGGAAAAATACCTCTGCCTCGGGAGAGTTCCAGGTTAGGCAAAATACAGGAAAAGCCTTTGAGCTCATCCTTCAGGGTGCCACCAGACAGGTAAAAACAACCACGTTCTTTAAGAATAAGGAATAAGGTCCATTTTGTTCCTTTCTATCCTGGGAACCTATACTGGGAATATGGGCTGTTGTCTTCAGAGGTATTGTTGAGTTAGGGGATGGAACCAGGGTAAGTTAAAACACTACAAAACTCTTCCTAAGACACGGTTTATTTTTCCTTCATTAGATGTTTGCCTGGTTGCTATAAATTTTTTATTAGTTTCTAGAATTCTGATAGAGTTGATTCTGCTAGTTTTTTTGCTAGGTAATTCTCTGCTTTTGTGGAGGGACAGTCTTTTAGAATTCCCTACTCTGCAGTTTTTGCTGATGTAACTTCCTCTGTCTATGTACATATTTTTTAATGTGAGTTGCAGCCTACTAATAAGATAAGATCTACCATTTGAACACACTGGTCTAGTTAATATCCTTGCTGTGCTAAGGATATGTGAACTAAGCAGATATAGGATTTCCACTCTAAGGGCATATTGATTAACTATGTTTATTTAAATTTTAACAAAGGATTCTGAAAATATAACCAAAGTGATTTGTTTCACCAACCTTCAGATACACTGGCAAAATTGTGGTCACTTCTCACCGTGTTCCTAGGATACCCAAAGAAGTTTCTGAACAGGCCCTTAATAGAGATGGATTCACCTCTACAAAGTCCTTGGGCTAAAGGGTGTATTATGCAATTACTTCTTAAAGTGCTGTTATTATAGACTCTTCTGTTCTGCTTCAGCTTTGGGACATCCGGAAGAAAGCAGCCATCCAGACATTTCAGAATACCTACCAGGTGTTAGCTGTGACCTTCAATGACACAAGCGATCAGATTATTTCGGGTGGAATAGACAATGATATCAAGGTATGTTTGGTGTTTATGTTACATTTCCCTTTCACTATCTTTACAGAGGAGAATCTTTTCAAACTTCTGAGATTGTGGTAGCTTGCACCTAATAACAATGAGAAGGAACTTATGAATTTAGATCTTTTTTTCTGTCCTATCTTCATTGAATTCCTAAGTCAAGGGTTGCTCCTATAAATGCATCTAACACAGTGGTTCTCAACCTACTGGCCCTTTAAATACAGTTCCTCATGTTGTGACCCAACCATAAAATTATTTTTGTTGCTACTTCGTACCTGTAATGTTGCTACTGTTATGAATCGTAATGTAAATATCTGATATGCAGGATGGTCTTAGGCGACCCCTGTGAAAGGGTCGTTCGACCGCCAATGGGGTCGCGACCCACAGGTTGAGAACCGCTGATCTAACACTTAGGTAGCGCTTACTTTGTGTCACGCATTGCTCTTAGTGCTTTATGTTATTAATTCATTTAATTGTCTGTTTTCACACATTATTTTTGCCTAGGAATACTCTTCTACTTTGTTGAAGTAAAAAAAGTACAGTGGGGCCTTGACTTACGAGTTTAATTCGTTCCGTGATTGACTTACGAGTTTAATTCGTTCCGTGATGGAGTTCGTAACTCAGATTACTCGTATGTCAAATCATTAAAGTGAACAAGTGAGACACGTGATGCTGGGCTGATGTGGCGTTCACTGTGACGTTCGCTGCGCCAACTAGTGGTGGGGTATCTGAAGCTGGCTCATAACCCGAATTTTAGCTCGCAGCTCAAAGCAAAAAATCGGCCGAGAGACGGCTCGTATCTCGAAAAACTCGTTAGTCGGGACACTCGTAAGTCAAGGCCCCACTGTATCTCTTCTTTCATACCTTGCCCAAGTGTTTGGGAGCAGAGATTGTGTCTTTTTTTTTTTCTTTTCTTAATCAATTACCTTCCACTAATGAGATGCAAAATATTTTGCTTAAGCCCAGTTGGTGTGGCTCAGTGGTTGAGTGTCGACCCATGAACCAGGAGGTCACAGTTTGGATCCTAATCAGGGCACATGCCCAGGTTGTGGGCTTGATCCCCAACCGTAGGGAGTGTGCAGGAGACAGCTGATCAGTGATTCTCTCTCATCATTGATGTTTCTCTCTCTCTCTCTCTCTCTCTCTCTCTCTCTCTATCTCTCTCTCTCTCTCTCTCTCTCTCCCTCTCTCTTCCTCTCCCTTCTCTCTCTAAAGTCTTAAATTAGTGCCCTACTCACTCTTTCTGTGGCAAATCCCAATACATTTAGGCCTGCACAAATACCATGTGCAGGCCCTAAGGGGGAAAGTCTGGAAATAGCACTCAAGTGCTGTGAGAAATGGTGAATTGCATTCTCTCTTGGTTGTTATAAAGCTAAAGATTTCTGCAGTGCCTTCTCTGAAGAAGAGGAACAGTAGCTTGAATAAAAAAGTGTCAGCCATTTTAAGTTTTCTTGATTATTGAGCCAACACACATCTTGACAAAAAAATGATTGAATATAAAGTATGTTGGATTCCACACATGAATGAACTATTGATGGGGAAGTGGAGTTGTCTGCCTTGTGTATTGCTTTGACAACACCAAACTCATTTCTAGTTTATCTTAATATTTGACATTTCTAGATGAGGCACATGCCTTAGCTGCTAAAAGGGACAGCAGAATTTTTTTTTAACTTAGAAAAACTACATGGCAATATTAAATCAATTTTAGAGGAAATTTTGTACAATACCAACGATTCTTTTTGTGTATGACATTCCAGACCATTTCTATTTTCTTTTATATATTTTCACATCATTACAGTCTATGTAAATATAAATATTGTTTTGTATTTTTTTTATTTGCTTAATAGCTCACATTTTTACATTTGGTCTTCAGAGTTATTTTTAGGAGTAGCTTGATGATACCTACCAGTTACTGAGGGCCTTCTGTATGCTAGGCATATATATGCTAAGCATTTCTTGTTTTATGTTGTTTTGTTTTTCTTAATCCTCACCTGGGGATATTTTTCCATTGATTTTTAGAGATAGTGGAAGGGAGGGCGAAAGACAGAGGGAAACATCTATGTGAGAGAGACACATCCATTAGTTGCCTTCTGCATGCACCAAGGCTGGTCTAGGGATCAAACCTGCATCCGAGGTACATGCCCTTGACCGGAATGTGTTGATGAGCCATAACCATATATTTTTTTCTGTTTGACATTAAGTTTCTTCCAACTGAAATGTTTCTCTTATCTTTCCTACACAGACATATTTATTCTTTTAATAAATATGCTTTTCTATCATGTATATGTGTGTGCATATATGTAATATATGAAATTAAGTGAAAAATTTTAATTCTCTGTATCTTTGCATACTACCTTATTTTATGCATTTTATATGCAATCATAATGTCTTTTATATAACATGGTTACTTGTTTTTATATAGTTTATTTTTAATTGCTAAGAATCATAGTTTAAGCATTTTTAAAAATACGTTTTTATTGATTTCAGAGAGGAAAGGAGAGGGAGAGATAGAAACATTGATGAAGAGAGAGAATCATTGATCGGCTGCCTCCTGCATGCCCTACACTGGGGATTGAGCCCACAATCCAGGCATGTGCCCTGACTGGGAATTGAACCATGACCTCCTGGTTCATAGATTGTTAGTTTATCTTAATATTTGACATTTATTTGTTTGTAACTATCTAGTCAAATATAGTAGCTTGACTCCCTTTTTAGAAAGAGGAGTTTTTTTCTCTTTGATAGAAATCCTATATTTTGTGATAAAGTAATTCTTGCTCTAGAGCCAGTTTAAGAAGGAATACCAATTTCTCAACTTGATTTTTGAGAGCACCTTTTTGTTTTGTAGGTCTGGGACCTGCGTCAAAACAAGCTGACCTACACCATGAGAGGCCATGCAGATTCAGTGACTGGCCTGAGTTTAAGTTCTGAGGGCTCTTACCTTCTGTCCAATGCAATGGACAATACAGGTAACTTTGGAAAGGAAAGCATTCCAAATGCCTACAGAAAGTGGGCACCAGGTGTTAGAAATGTGTGCTGGGCCCAGCTGGCGTGGTTCAGTGGTTGAGCGTCGACTATGAACCAGGTTCAGTTCCCGGTCAGGGCACGTGCCCGGCTCCATCCCCAGTGTGGGGCATGCAGGAGGCAGCCAATCCATGATTCTCTCTCATCATTGATGTTTTTATCTCTCCCTCTCTCTTCCTCTCTGAAATCAATAAAAACATTATTTTTAAATGTGTGCTAGGATAAATAAGGATCCAAGGATCGAGTCAGGATGGCTCACAGACTTTCACCAGAGCAATTAGGAGAACACATAATAGAAAAAGGATTCTAGTCCCAAATCTGCCACCTAATCCCTGAGCAACTTTGCACATAACACTTCTTCTCTCAGCATCAGTTTCTACACTGATAAAGAAGAGGACTGGACTTTACTTCTAAGGCCCATTTTAGCTGTGGTGTGCTGTGAATCCAAGGCTGTATGGGTTCAAGCAAGATACAAGAAACTTTTGATTTGTTTTTTGAAAAAGATGAGAGCTCTCAGGCATTTTCAGAGAGCACCAACTCGGATGATCGAAAGACCTATTGAACCTCAGTTATGCTCCTTCTGCCGTGTCTTCCTTCCCCGCTCCAAAGCATTGTTGTGACAAGAGACCCTCATGAAAACATCTCAACATTCTGAGTTTACGCACACTCTTGTCTTGGCTTGTTTTTGAGTTGTTGGGTAGGAGGATGGGGTAGCAGAAAAGGAGGATGACTTGTTGGATTATATGCTTAATATTTTTGGAAATACCCCTTTGGTACACAAGTTCATAGGCTTGTTGGGAGGTGGTGTTTTCACTGACATTTTGTAATGAAAACAGTGCCTAGCGCTCAATGTGTGCTCAATAAATATTAGTTGAGTGCATGAACATTCTTTACCTTCTGACTGTATTGTCAGCTCTGTAGCACACTTTTATGCATAGCTTTGCCTTTTTATGCCTCTCTGACTTGAAGGATTATTTTTTTCACACTGCTCACTGTGGGTATTTATACATATATTCTGGTTTCAATGGATTTACCATTGACTGAATCTAGCATTGTTTACAGTAAGGAAAGATGAGATTCCCTAAATGGTTATTAAATTAAGAAGAGGAATTTCTTGTTATGGCTATATAATAAAATTACAAATTCTTCATTTTTGTTTATTGCCTCCAATCTTTTAGAGCCCTTTCACATATATCATCTTATTTGATCTTTAAAATACTCTTGCTAATACCTTTTTACAGAAGAGACCAAAACACAAAGAACCTTGCTATTTATCTGATACCACCCATATATGTGGTATAGCTAAAATTAGAATCAAAGTTCACTTTCTGATTCTTGGTACAGTGCTCTTTTAATATATATATTTGACCTTGTTCAAGTTTAGATTGCCAGGTGCCCCTCTGAGCAAATTTATAAAAGGTTAGTCCTGAGTTTGATTTTTATAGATTGAATGTCACAGTAGTCAATGATGGTTAGATTGTCATATCAAAGCTTTGCTAAATGTGACTCTTTGGGTTGGCAGAGGAATCATTTGCAAAATGTTCTGTTGAAATCAGTGTCACACCCAAGTATTCTCTGTTGCAAATCCCCAGCAGTGTGTTTGACATTTCTCCTTCCTGCCCCCTCAGCTTTCCTCTGTGCCCATAGGCCCGTTAATGGGACTTGAATGTATTTTATTCCTCTTAGCAAAAGGAAAGAGCCTTACCAGGCAGCATTGTTCCATGTTAACCTCCTCCCCCCAGGAAATAGCATCTGTCGATTTCAGCTGGGTGCTCAGAGGGCCTCTGGCTGATAACTTTTATTTTACCTTTTATTTTCATACAAAAATAGCTTTTAAGCAAAATGCAAAAATAACTTTTGACACTGAATGAAGAGGGACCTGAGTATATTTTTTTCTTTGTAACTGTAGATTTTAATGGTTTATAGATTCAGACTTGGCTGACAACTGTTTTGCTTGGTTTATTTGAATTTGTAGTGCGGGTCTGGGATGTCCGGCCATTTGCTCCCAAAGAGAGATGTGTCAAGATATTTCAAGGAAATGTGCACAACTTTGAAAAGGTGAGTTCTGCATAGCAAAGGAGTTCTGTCCTTTTGATTCAAAGAAACATTTACGATTGTGCTAAGGTGCAGTATCTACATATATCAATATGTTGTACACCTAATACAATGTTATGTTAGTTTTATCTCAATTTAAATTTTAAAAGAGAGATGGTGCTGAGGCTAGAGATCAGTAGCTCTACTAACGGGCTGCATTCCAGTAACACTGTTCTCCATCGAAACTGTCCTTGCTGGAAATACAAGTAGTAGAAGGATAGGGTAGAAGGCAATCGCGTAGATAAGTGGTGATGGTGCCAACCCTCCAATTTAGGATTTCCAACTTCAACAAGACACTCCTATCCTTTTAATTCCTTGGTAACTTTAACCCTCTTAGTTTAGTGTTCCAAATGGGATCCAGGCTCCCATGGCTATTTCCCAGACAACCTCTGTCACCTCCCAGTGACCAGCTGTTAGAGCCCTGAGAATACATCTCTATCTGCAGTAAGCACCGTGGCCCAAGTTCTGAGAGACAGAAATGTTTTCTAAACTCGCAAAGTCCAGGTCAGCTCTTGAAAGCAGCTTTTCCCCAAAATAATTTGATAATAGAGACTAATGGTTTTCTTTTGAGATCCCGTTAAGGGTTTTTGACTTTGTGAATGAAATTTTATTTTTTTGTTGGATTTGGTTTTCTTTTCCTTCAAGATAAAGTTTTTAATGAGGCCGAAGCCGGTTTGGCTCAGTGGATGGAGCGTCGGCCTGCGGACTGAAAGGTCCCAGGTTCGATTCCGGTCAAGGGCATGTACCTGGGTTGCGGGCACATCCCCAGTGGGAGATGTGCAGGAGGCAGCTGGTCGATGTTTCTCTCTCATCGATGTTTCTGGCTCTCTATCTCTCTCCCTTCCTCTCTGTAAAAAATCAATAAAATATATTTAAAAAAAAAAAAAAGTTTTTAATGAGGATCAAGGTAAATGGAGCAAAAGGAGCCTCCATTTGTAGGTAGAACAAAATTTTGTTACTATAAATTAAGCATTTTCTAAAGTTGGCTTTTATGTGGTATGAAATGATGCCAGTATGCTGTCTTGGGCCACAAAATATAAAATAATTGCTGATCATCTTTCTGGGGAGAATAATTAAAACTCAAGAAATTTTAAAGTCTCTCAGTGATTCTGTAGTCTAACAAAGAGGGGTTTGGTACATTACTATATTCATTGGATTCCTGCTTATTCATTATTGTAGAATCTTCTGAGATGTTCTTGGTCACCTGATGGAAGCAAGATAGCAGCTGGCTCAGCTGACAGGTAAGGATTACCGGGAGTGTGGCAAAGAATGATAGAGCTGCCCAGCTAGTGTGGCTCAGTGGTTGAGTGTCAACGCATGCACCAAGAGGTGGCTGATTCCTGGTTAGGGCACATGCCCAGGTTGTAGGATCGATCCCCAGTGTGGGGTGTGCAGGAGGCAGCCAATCCTTGTTGATGTTTCTCTCTTATCCATGTTTCTTTCTCTCCCTCTCCCTTCCTCTCTCTCTAAAATCAAATCAATAAAAAACATAAAAAAGAAGAAAATAATGATGCTGGTATCTTTACATGTTTAATACATGTAATCACCTCTCTCTGTTATGCCTATAAACTTGTCATGGTCCTCTCTCTCCCTTACCTCTTGGGCATAACAAATTCCTCTTTGTTTTGTGCTGTTGTCACACTTTGTACACCTAACCTTTATTAGCATTTATTGCATCTTATAGTAAGTAGGGCACCCCAGTACATTATTTGCTCCTAGAGGTCAGAGAATGAATCTTAGTCATCTCTGAACCCAGGGCAGTGTTTGACCTATTCTAAGCATTAGTAATATTATATGAATGAATTCCTAGCCTAAGGTTGGCAGTCAAATTTTACCCTGCATATGGTGACCTATACTTGGGAGGGAGTCAGAGGTTGAATCGGGATGTCCAGGGGCCCAGGCTGTTGGGCCACAGATGTGGGAAGCCCTCTGGTGACAGTCTCTGGGTTTAGCTCCCATCTTTCTCCCCTTTAGGGATTTTCCTGCCACCCTGCTGAAACAGGCACCATCCTATAAACACGAAGCCTTTCCTGGGCTAGATTGGGTCTTCAACATGTCCGGTGTCTTCTGTTTGTGGCCCGAGCACAGCCATAGAGAAACCTCATTTTGGTCTGTCCTACACCTTTATATCTGTGAACATACCTGAAGATTCCAGAGTTTGCTTCTTTTTTTTCTGGCAAGTTTAATGCCAGGAAAAATGAACAAACAAGTATTCAGCTATTTTCTGGGGAGGGAAGGGCTCCTGGTGGTTTAGAGAACTGCCTTAAAGAGAGAATCTAAGAGGTTTTCAGTTGTCAGGTTGCTAAAGATCTTAAACAGATCTACAACATGAGATGTATCTTGCATTCTGACAGAGGAAGAACCATTCTAAGTATTTTTACATTATTTTTAGCATATTTGCCTAAGCTTTTCTTCTGATAGGTTTGTTTCCTAAGCTTTTCTTCTGATCGGTTTGTTTCTGACATTCATTGGCCCTGACTTTCAATGTCCTCTCTCCCCACTGTTCCTTTAAAAGTCTGCTTGTCTACCTGCTGGGGTTGGCCGGATTTCACAGGCCTCCTCGCCAATTAGTCCGAAGTCAGCAAGCAGCTCTGTTACATAAAGAGCCTGGTTCCTGCCGAACATTGCCATGCCAAAGCAACGAGAGGACATGGAACCCCTCTAAATTTAGCATCTAATTGGCAGCCATGGGGAGTGATGCCTTGAAGTAAACCTTTGGAGGTCTGGGGTTCTGCTGGCCTATAAGTACCTGGGAAATGTAACTTTCCTCAGAAAACTGCTTTTCAGCTTGGCCTAGATTTGGCAAATTTCCCCTCTCTACTTACAAATCACCTCCCTCCTCATGTTCAGACTTGAAACCCTTCAAAATTCCCATCACAGACTACGGGAAGACTGGCCAGTCTTTCCACTATGAGCGATTTATTTAACCTCTTGTTTCATATGATTGTATGTTGATAATTGATATCGATTGTGTTTGTCATAGCAATAGCTATCATTCATTTTGTGTGCCAGGCATTTTGCATACATTATCTTATTCTCTCAACCAATATTATGTGAGACCAATATTATCTCCATACAACTAAGGCAGCGGTTCTTAACCTGTGGGTCGCGACCCCTTTGGCGGTCGAATGACCCTTTCACAGGGGTCGCCTAAGACCATCCGGCATATCAGATATTTACATTACAATTCATAACAGTAGCAACATTACAGTTATGAAGTAGCAACGAAAATAATTTTATGGTTGGGTCACACCATGAGGAACTATATTTAAAGGGCCAGAGAAGTTAAATAAATAAATTCTCTAAAATTACTTAGCTATTAAATAGTTGCACTGAGAATTGAACCCAGGTCTTTCTGACTCCAGAGCTCATGTACTTTTTAACCATGGCACCTCGTCCTCAGCTGGATTAATGAGGACAGTGACTTGTGCTTGGCAGGAAAAAAGACAGTAGGGAGAGCATGAGCATCAGAGCCAAGGAGTCTGTAGACAGAGAGGGTTCCTGCTTCTCTTCCATCTTGCTTGGAACTTTTGTTTAGTTCCTGTGGAGCCTAGCTCTTGAGAACTAAACAGTATCATTCCGAAGCTCTTCCTGTTTATTTGCATTTTAGACTAAAAGTGTTTACTGTCACATCAGAACTAGGCATTTTATAATCAAGTACTGGTGAGTGTTCCCTTTTAAGTGTTGACCGAACAAAACAAATGTGTAACTTTGTATAACCTGTTTGAAAACCATGAGCCCTTTAAATGTACCAACAGGTTCTTTTTGCATGGTAATATGAAGATAATATCTCTTCATTTTACCTTCAGCTTAAAATGACCCAAGGAAGGTTGAGGGTCAAAGGAACTTCTTTATTGGGGGGTGTGGGGAGACAAGGTGTTTGAGGGGTTTAAGCAAAAGGAGAGTACTGGAATATATTAAGAGTGCCGATTTTAGTTCTGACACTGATGAACGGTGTCAACTTGGAAAAGTCACTATACCGTAGTTTTCTTATCTGTTAAATGAGGTCAGACTAGCTGATTTCTGTTGGCCCCTTCCCATGCTAGTATTCTTTCTGCTCATGAATTCAGTGCAAGATTTGGGTCAAGTGTATATTTGGGTTATGTTTATGTAGCACAAATTTCCTGTCCTTCTCTGGCTATGTGATGTGAATACTAGAAGTTCAGTTGCCTCTACAACCTAGGCTCCAACCTACCATGAATTGGGTTACCTTGAAGACCTTTCTGGATGCATGTGATGTTAATGATAGCCTAATTATATGGGTGCTTTTTGAGGAAGATTTCTTATGTTTAAAAATACCAGTAAGGCCTATATGTAGAGAGCGCCTGGGAAGGCACATGAGCATTTCTTTAATTATTGTCAGCTGAATCCAGTGGCGTTGGCAGAGCCCCATCCTGGAAACACGCCTTACCAGAGGCAGGAGTGTTGTCAGCTTGACCTTCAGCCCAAGTGCCAAGGGGTGGGTTTCATTATCTAAATCCAGCCAAGCACCAGGAATGAATACCACTCAGGCCCACACAAGGCCCATCTATATTTTTGGCTCTTCCTATTTCTCCACTCAGTTGCTCAAGGACAGGTCCATGCCTAATTCAAAATCTGTATTCTTAGTTTCTAAAAGTCAGAATACAATTCAATAAACATGGGTTAATAAATAAATAGTTGCTGCCCAGCCGGGTGTAGCTCAGCGGTTGAGCGTCGACCCAGGAACCAAGAGGTCGAGGGTTTGATTCCTGGTCAGGGCATATGCCCAGGTTGCGGGCTCGATCCCCAGTGTGGGGCATGCAGGAGGCAACCAATCAATGATTCTCTCTCATCATTGATGTTTCTATCTCTGTTTCCCTCTCCCTTCCTCTCTGACATCAATAAAAATATATTTTAAAAAATAAAAATAAAAATAAATAAATAAATAAATAAATAGTTGCTTCCATTTTCCTTAAAAAGCCATGCTTCAACCTACCCTCAGCCCTGAAAGGCCTTAGCTTTGTTCTTTGTGATGCCTTGCAGGTTTGTGTACGTGTGGGATACAACAAGCAGGAGGATTTTGTATAAGCTTCCGGGCCACGCTGGCTCCATCAATGAAGTGGCTTTCCACCCTGACGAGCCCATCAGTAAGTCTGTCCTGACTCTGGGGAAAAGGAAACTATGGGAATCTCCCAAAAAGAGCCCTGAGAATACAGTGGGGCCTTGACTTACGAGTGTCACGACTAACGAGTTTTTCAAGATACGAGCCAGCTCTTGGCCGATTTTTTGCTTTGAGTTTCGAGCTAAAATTCGGGTTATGAGCCAGCTTCAGATACCCCACCGCTAGTTGGCGCAGCAAACGTCACAGTGAACGCCACAATATCAGCCCAGCATCACGTGTCTCACTCGTTCACTTTAAGATTTGACATACCGAGTAATTTGAGTTACGAGCTCCGTCACGGAACGAATTAAACTCGTAAGTCAAGGCCCCACTGTACAGAGGCAAAGTTGGATGTCTGTTTTCTGTGAATGTCCATGCAAACATTCTTTATGGGTATCAATAATAGTCACCACTGTTTTAAGTGGTGAGGGTAAGAGCAATGTTTCACTTTATAACTTAACCCACATTTTATTGGCTAGCCAATCATTTTGTAAATAGTGGGCCTTTAATTTAAGGAGAAAATGTAACTTTCTCTAGGGCTAAGCTCATTTACAAAATGGAAGCACCAACATTGATTTTTCTGTTCTAGAATGACTGAGGAAGTCTTTTTCTTAGGGTTTTACTGACAAGAGACATCGAGATTTAGAGCCTGGTAATGTATTTCCCATAGCACAGTCCACCCTCGTGATTTCGAGAGGATGTGGATTGAAAAGCAGGCTGCAGTTTCCTGTGAATGGTGTTTAGGAGGAGGGGGGTTTAAGCTAAATCCAATTGCTCTTTTATACCAAAATTGGCTCTTGAAATAAGAGCCCTTGAGCACCAAGTCTCCTTGAGCCTTCATTATTTCCAGTTATTCTCTATTCTCTCACCTCAGTTCTCTCAGCATCCAGTGACAAGAGACTGTATATGGGGGAGATCCAGTGAAGATCAGAAATGGAAGACTTCAGGGCTGCTTGACCTCAGGCTGCATCCGTGGCATCAAGTGGTGCCCAAGCCAGCATCCTCCCTTCAGATGAAGATCTAGAAACCAGTAGGAGGTGGCCGTATTCCAACAACCACATGCATCTCATTTCACCAGGATGGATGATTAAAGCAAGCTTACAGAGGCCTCTAAAAACCACCTGCCACATTTCAGGGACTGTTTGGTTTTTTCTTCTTTACTTTTTATTTCTTCAAAAGGGCAGACATTGGTTGGTTTGTAGCTTCCTGTTTTCTCATCCAGATTGAAGACAGGGAATGTGACTGAAATTTGCTTATTGGGGGTTTATTTTAATTATTGGCTTGTATATTTTATTTGTGTTTCTCTGAGTCATTTTGTATTAAAAGCCAAATAGATGCCTTTTTACAAGAGCCATGTAGATTGAATTTATTGCTGTCTTTTCTTTGATACTTGACCTGAGCAGTAAATCTGAGCAGGACATGATATGGACAGGTGACATTCCAGTTAAACTTCCAGGAAGCTGTTTACTGGGATGTTTTGGGCTTTTCCCCCTTTTATGTGTTTTTTGGTTCACCATACTCATTCCCATGTAAATGACAGAATATCAGTAACAAGTACTGCTCTCCTATTAGGAACATAGCATCAAACTCAACTCGAAGGAATATGAGAAAGTTTTAGTGTAACTGGGTCATGACATTGAGACTTATGATTCTACCTATTGTCTCTTTTCCCTAAATTGAGAGTGGTATTAAGAAATGCTAGGTCCGGCCCTAGCTGGTTTGGCTGAGTGGATAGAGCGTCAGCCTGGGGACTGAAGGGTCCCAGGTTCGATTCTGGTCAAGGGCACATGCCTGGGTTGTGAGCTTGATCCCCAGTGGGGGACGTGCAGGAGGCAACCATCATTGATGTTTCTATCTCTCCCTCTCCCTTCCCTTCTGAAATCAATAAAGATATATTTTTTAAAAAGAAAGAAAGAAACACTAGGTCTGGCCTTAGCTGGTTTGACTTAGTGGCTAGAATGTTGGCCTGTGGATAAAAGGGTGCCGGGTTCAATTCCGGTCAAGGACATGGACCTTTATTGCAGGCTCCTCCCCGGCCTGGTCAGGGCTGGTGCAGGAGGCAACAAGTTGATGTGTTTCTCTCACATCTATGTTTCTCTCTGTCTTTCCCTCTCTCTTCTACTCTCCCTAAAAATCAGTGGAAAAATTATCCTCGGGTGAGGATTAACAACAATAACATAAAAATGCTAGACCCGGTTGGTGTAGCTCAGTGGTTGATGTCACAATTCGATTCCCAGTCAGGGCACATGCCCAGGTTGCAGGCTAGATCTCCACTGTAGAGCATGCAGGAGGCAGCTGATCAATGATTCTCTCATTAATGTTTCTCTCTCCTTTCCTCTCTGAAATCAGTAAAAATATTTTTTTAAAAAAAAAAAAGAAATGCTAGTAGTTGTTTCCTACCCCCAAGACAGGTTACTGTCTTCCTAGATCATTTATGATTGCCAAGCACCCAAACCAGCACTCATGGATTCCATCTAACATGGGAAAGTGAAGTGTATCTTTTCTGAATCTCATATTGCACACAGGTCTTCACGCCTCCAACCTATTCTAACATGTTTGGTTTTATACTTTAGTTCACAAACCTGAATCATCTGTGTATCTTAAAAGAGAGGGGATGGTTTTAAGTGAGCACACGTCCAATATTTAACTCATTAATGAAGGAACTAGCAGGATGGTAAAGCTATCAAGTCAATTACTTTTAATACAGTGAATGAAATTTTAATAAAGACCACTGGAAACAGCAACTTATGGTACCTGGGAGAGTTAAGGAAGTTTAACACATTATGTGATTATGCTTAGATTGGGATTTAAAAAACGAGTGGGGCTTTTGCCAGGTGGACCAAGAACATATGCGTTGAACTTCAACGTTGTTATAGGTGGGGAACAGCAGGTAATAACCAAATCCTGGAGAGCTTGTACTTCATGAACCTGATCCTATATTTTGAGGTTTCCTAAAGTATATTCCACAGAACACTGTTTCCCAGGTACGTTAGAAACATTGGGCATAAAGATTCCAAGCTCAAGTACATTTGGAAAAACCTGGATTAAATAAAATGCAACTTTTTTTTTTAACTGCAGGACTGCTTAGCAGTGGTTCTCAATTTGTGGGTCGAGACCCCTTTGGCGGTCGAACGACCCTTTCACAGGGGTCGCCTAAGACCATCCTGCATACCAGATGTTTACATTACGATTCATAACAGTAGCAACATTACAGTTATGAAGTAGCAACGAAAATAATTTTATGGTTGGGTCACCACATGAGGAACTGTATTTAAAGGGCCAGAAGGTTGAGAACCACTGGCTTAGAGCCTTTAGTGTACAAATTAATTTTCAAAGGGAATGGTGACTCATTTCAGGCCTGAGCAATAATTTATATATGGTTATGCCTTTAACCAGGAGAGGTTTGGCTGAAGATGTTTTGCAAGCTGCTCTTCACACCTCTCCCACTGTCACAGGTTACCCCTAATCCCTTTTTAAAGTCCACATGCCGCATAATTAGTCCAGTGCCCTCCGCTCACCCATCTTTCTTGGCTTGGGGTAAACTAAAGCTTCAACCTTGACATTGCACTTTTAAAAGCCTAATAATCCCTTGAGAAGTTGGCAGTGATTGGGTAGAACGAGGGCCCTGGAGACTGCAAGGGCTTTCCTCTAACCTTAGCCTCTTCACTCCTGCCAAGTGCCTTCAAAGGCTGGGTAGAGGCTATGAGTAGGAAAGAGCAGCACCACTTAGAATTTGAAGGAAATAGAGGCCCTCGCCTGGGGAATAAAGATTTGAGTATAAAACATCCCCAGAGAGTGCAAATTGTATTCTCACTTTGGGAGAGAGAGATTGCTCCCGAATGAGTAATGGCATCTCTGGTTTTCAGTTAATTTCCCTTTATGACTTCCACGGCCTCTAACACTTAATACTGTTGGCATTTAAAAGAGCCAGATTCCCCCCCCCCCCGGTGGTTGAGTTTTGTAGACTGAATTGTCAGGGAGGTGGATTTGGACAGGTCAGGGCTCTTGTCAGAGTGAACCTGCAGTTATTTGTTCTCAGATAGACCGACAGTCTGCTGCTTGTTAATATCTCAAGGTGTGTGGCTGGGAACCTGAGGTGTGAGAGCTCTGGGCAATTGGGGGCTGCAGGCAGCTAAGCCTGAGGGAAAAGCTGTCAGGCCATCTGAGTTAGGACAGGATTGCTCCTTCCAAGGGATTTTAGGGCTTGACAGCTGTGTCCCAGGACAGAGGGAGGGGCCAGGCTTACAGCCTCTTCCTGTGGGACCAGATGAAGCCAAATTTGCTCAACTGTCTCCGTACCCCAGACCCATAATCATATTTCTCTAAAAAAGCTCTGAGTGGGCGCCCACCCTCTGCATGAATCCCTGAGCTGTCCCAACTCTCCTCCTTTCTTCTAGGCTTCAACTCCTTTTTCTCACCTGCCTCTGAAACCCACCTAGATTCTTAGACTCTTCTTTAACTTGTGTCCTCTAGAGCAGTAGATCTTAACTGGGCAATTTTGCCTTCCAAGGGACATTTGTTAGTACCTGGAGACATGTTTGATTGTCACCACTGGAGAGATGCTATGCACATCTATGGGTAGAGGCCAAAGGTGCTCAAAGAATTGGGTGCTCCAAAATGTCGCAGTGGTGCTATGGAGAAACCCTGTTCAAGAACAGTGATTCTCAAGGTGTGGTCTCTGGAACAGCAGCAGCAGCATCACCTGGGAACTTGATAGAAATGCAAATTTTAGAGGCCCACCTGAGACCTGCTGAATCAGAAACTTTGGGGAAAGGAAGTATTCAGCCATCTTTTAACAAGTCCTCCAGGTGATTTTGATGCAAGTTTTCGAACCACTGCTCTTCATCTTTCCTACAAGAGCCACAGAAGCTTTTCATGTTTACTCATTAATAATTGTCCTGACCCAGCCAGCATGGGTCAGGGATTGAGTGTTGACCTATGAACCAGGAGGTCACTGTTCGATTCCCAGTCAGGGCACATGCCCAAGTTGTGAGCTTGATCCCCAGTGGGGGCATGCAAGAGGCAGCCGGTCAATGATTCTCTCTCATCATTGATGTTTCTATCTCTCTCTCCCTCTCTCTTCCTCTCTGAAATCAATAAAAATACATATTTTTTTAAATAGTTGTCCTTAACTATTTAGCTGTTCTTTCTGGCTCCATGTTTTATGCATTATCTCACTTGATTGTCACATACGAGTCAACAGGTTCAAAGAGAAGTAACACCCCAACCAACTTGGAAATAGCAAAGCCAGGAAGTAAATCCAACTAGAGCTCTTATCCCATCATCATGATGTTGGCCTTAGAATGCACATAGAATCACCTATGTAGCCTTTTAAAATCCAGATGCTTCGATCATTCCCCAGGCCCATTAAATCAGAGTCCCTAGGGTGAAATCAGTATATTTTAAAGCTTCCTTAAGTGATTGCAATGTGCAATCAAGGTTGAGGACACTGGTGTTAGCCAATGTTATGACTATAGCCAAGAGGGCAGTATAAAGCTCAGTTGACTTCCCCTGCCACCCTCTGGCTCTCAGGGAAAACACTATCACATGTTCTGTGGATTTTAAGAACACTTCTCTCAAAGCCCATGGCTCAGCTGAAACATAGGAGCTTGACCAGAGAGCAGAGGCCGATTCACTGTGATCATCTCTGCCTGGTGAGACTGTGGGGTTTTGTGTAGAAAGGGCCGCTGACCTGTCTTCAATGCCCTGAGTTGTTTTACAACTCAGGTGCTAGGGCTGGGAAAGACCTTAGGTCGTCCAGTCCAACCTCTTTTACAGAAGGGGAGCCTGAGCATACATACAGTTTCCCAAGGTTAGTGGTTTTGCCTATTTAGGGAGCATTTATTCAACGTCCCTCTGTGGCAGGCC